TCAGGAGTGAATATGATCAAAATACATTGCAGTATGTGTGAAATTCTCAAAAACAAAAGCTAAACCACATACAGAAAAGGCTGGTGGTGGACGATTTGTTGATTATGTTGATTACTATAGCCCTTCAGGTATTAACAGTATCTCAGTTACTCTTGGTATCTTCAGCCCTGCAGGGGTGGGAGGCTACCAGTTTTAGGAGAGCAGTTCTTTAATACAGATTTGAGCAGGAAAATGACCTAGAGTTTAAAGTGGCCAGTGGGTCGAGGCAATATGAATGCAGAGATGCCAAGTTTCCATCCTTGTTTTTAGCTGTCCATTGAGTATCTGGCAGCCCAAGTGAAGAGACAGCAAAAGAGCAGCTAAATCCCTGTTACGCTTGGATTATCACTGCCAAGATCTGCCTGTCTTCTTGGGTGAGTTTGCATTTCTTTCTTTGTTGTGTTTTATATATGTCTAAATTTTAATACGTTTATTGAGCGTGTGCATGCCACAGTGTGGATGTAGAGGTCAGAGGACAAGTTATGAGAGTTGGTTCTCTCCTTCCATCATGTGAAGCTAGGAGTAGAGCTCAGCTTGTCAGTCTTGCCAAGCATCCTTACCAGCTGATGTACCTCACAGGTCCTATTCTATTATATACTTATGATTCACAGGATATCTTATTTCCTTATTTTTAATTTTTGGGGGGTTGAAAGGCTTATCTCAGCCCCCAAAGCACTGGTAATAAAAAGAACATCCCTGTCTTGCATATCAGCTGTGAGGAGTTTCCTATTCTTTCTTTGTTTTGTTTTGACTTAGCTTGGCTTGGTTTGGTTTTGGGGTTTGGATTTTTTTTGTTTTTTTTTTTGTTTGTTTGTTTGTTTGTTTGTTTGTTTTGTTTCCAAGACAGAGTTTCTCTGTGTAACAGCCCTGACTGTCCTGAAACTCACTCTGTAGACCAGGCTGGCCTTGAACTTACAGAGATCTGTCTGCCTCTGCCTCTGCCTCTGCCTCTGCCTCTGCCTCTGCCTCTGCCTCTGCCTCTGCCTCTGCCTCTGCCTCTGCCTCTGCCTCTGCCTCTGCCTCTGCCTCTGCCTCTGCCTCTGCCTCTGCCTCTGCCTCTGCCTCTGCCTCTGCCTCTGCCTCTGCCTCTGCCTCCCCAGTGCTGGGATCAAAGGTGTGCATCACCACACCTGTGGAGGGCTTTTCTATTACTCCAGGCCAGGTCAAATGGTTCAGCTCCTTAGTCCTGTAGCCTGTGAAAGCCAGATCCTGTCCCATACATCAGCCCACCTGTAGGACACATGTGTGCTTCCAGACCCCTCTACCGCCCCCTTCTCTGTGGTCCTTGCTCTGCTTTGTGCCAGTTCATGTGGGAATCACAGATTCTCCACCAGATAACAAAGACTCTTGCACTGGTCATTCATGAGAAGGGGAAGGTGTCAACATGATCCCAGAGGAGACAGTGGACTGTCTGAAATCTCCACCAGCTGTCTTTATTAGTTTATTTTGACCCCCTGAGTTTAATTATGGCTGCTGACATGAGCAGGAGTGGGTCTCATTTACTGAAACACTGGCAACTTGAAAACACTAAAACACAACATATACTTGGATGGAACTGTCAAAGAATGGGGGAAAAAAAGGGGGGACAGAAACTGAGGGAACACCCTTAAAAAGGGGACATGCTAATTCTTATATATGTTACTTAAAGGGTTAGAAGAAATTGTATTTTTTATTTTTCCTATAGATACCTTTTAAAGGTTTATAGTGCGAGTGCGTGTGTGTGTGTGTGTGTGTGTGTGTGTGTGTGTGTGTGTGTGTGTGTGTGTGTGTGTGTGCTCATGCCACAGCACGTTTGTGGAAGTTAGTGGACAGCTTAAGGGAGAAAGTTCTCTCTTCTCTGTTCCCATGTAAAACAAATTTGAGGCCATTTATTAAGGTAACAAAAGTATTTCCCATTTGATTATAAAGCACCAGCGATGTAAATTCCATTAGGGAGCTTTCCACCACAACTCTTGTTCATTTCTGCAAATTCACCACTGAGCAATAGGAATTCCCATGCTGGCAACATTGTTTCTGCATCTCTCCATTCTATTGTTAGTTGAGAAAACATCTCCAGATGGATTGCAGCATTCTCTCCACAGCTGTAGGCTTTCAAAGACCTGATGCTAAATACTGGCTTTCTGTGTGAGCTTGTGCAAATTTCCTTCAATATCTCTGATTTCAGCCCATAGACTTCCTGGGACAATTAACTGAGTTCAATAATAAAATGTGCTTAGTATATGGTCAGAGTTCAGTAAATGTTAGGTGTCACCTTTTGTGGGTAAGGGTAGGGCTGAGAGTGTAGCTCAATTGGTAGAGTGCTCACCTCGAATGCACAAAGCTCTGGGTTCCACTCCTAGCATCTCATGAACCCAGCATGCATCCTATAATTCCATCACAAGGTAGAAGCAGGAGGACTAGAACTTCGAGGTCATGCTTGGTGTCACGGTGAGTCTGGGGCTGGCCTAGGCTACATGAGATCGTGGGTTAGTATACTTTTATTCATATAGAGATAATAAATTTAACTTTCTCTGTCATGAAGCCAGATATGGGCTACAGATTAGATTCCAGAGCAATCCTCACAGCTGATATGCAAGGCAGTGGTGTTCACTTTTTTGCTAGTGCTTTAGAAGTGGAGGGAAACCTTTCCCGGAAAATCTGGACACAAGGAAATTAAGATAGCCTGTGAAAGATACTAAATCTTGATGTGGCCAAGAGTTGAGGCTCAACTTGCAGGTAGTCTGGGTCACATAAGAGGGCCAGATACGACTTCAGTTGGACCCAGCATTCAGAGATGAAGAGGAGGTAGGGACAGAGTGAGAACATAATCCAACCCACAGTAGTCTAAATTGAGACAGGCGTCATTGGACCTGAGAGACTAGATTATTTCTAGAACAGAAGGTTCAGTTCATAAGCTTGGAGGACCCCAAGGCTGGCTAGCACCCAGCTTTTCCTAAGTCTGATGTGAATCTCTCAGAGTCACTTTACATTTCACAAGGGGATGGAAAGAGCTGAGAACCCATAAGCCTGCCAGAGATTGAGCAAGGTTGCCTCCTGCTGTCTTCAGCACCAAGAATAGACTCCTTTGATGGGATGGCCCGAGCGGTCCTTCTGGTTGTACCATCACTGATTGCAGAACTCTCCATCCCTGGCGTTTCTGCCATGTATGGGAACAGGTTGTTGAAGCCTTGGAAAAATATGTTAGGAATGGAGCAGGAGAGTCAGGTGTGGGTTGGTGAAAACAGGCTAAGGTAGGAGGGGGCGGGTGGGGGAGAAAGAGAAACAAGCTGGTGAACCAGATCCACAGGTACCTCTCGCAAAGGGGGCTGGGTACACCTTTCTCTTTGCAGAAGTCAGAGTTGTCTGGGTCTGGACACAAAGAAGGGGCTGAGTGGTGACAAGAGGTAGAGAGAGGACAACCCACTTAAAAACTACCAAAGGGGCACATGATTACACAAGTACTACCTGGAATCTAATCCCTACCCACTGTAGAGGCTCATCATCTATCCTTCTGGCTTTTTAGATTCTCCCAGGCAGGCTAGTGTGTTATTTTTGTAACGAATTGGTGCCAGTCATGTGACCATTATTGTGTCAGGGTTGAAGGTGGAGAGACTGTGTGATTTTTAACTATCCCAGTGGAAGAGAAAGGCCACCTTACTCTTTGGTGTATTTTGATTCTTATATCACCCTGATCCTCATTCCAGAAGCATGTACTTAAAGGAGAAAGCAGAGATCTGGGGAGTGGAAATCTTAGCCCAGGCTGGAGAGGATAGAGGCCATGAGGCAGGAAGAGCAACCACTAGGAAGCAGTAAGAGTCTCTGCTCCATCTTTACTCAACAGAACCTGCTGTCTCCAGTGAGCTCCACTGAACCCAGAGTCCATTTTTGTGCTCTGGAGGGGCATCTGGGTCTGGAAGCTGAGACTGGAGCCCAACAGGGCAGGCCGGTTCATACAGGAACTTCTCTGAGAAGCCTTTGGCCCCAACCAGCTGCCAGAGTTAACTTCTTTGAAAGTTTGCTAGTAGCTTCTTACAGTGTGAGTTCTTGTTTTATTTTTATTTTTTTAATTAATCGTGTGTGTGTGTGTGTGTGTGTGTGTTCCTGTACTACAATATGTGTGTGAAGGTCAGAGACAAACTTCCGAGTGGTTCTCTCCTTCTATGGTGTGTGTCCCAGGGATTGAACGATTGGCCATAAAGCTTGACATGGGCAACAGGGTCTTTCCCTGCTAAACCATCTTTTATCTTTATTGTTTGTCCTTCCTTTCTTTCTTTCTTCCTTCCTTCCTTCCTTCCTTCCTTCCTTCCTTCCTTTCTCTCTCTCTCTCTCTTTTTTTTTTTGAGAGAGAGTGTCTCTTGTAACACACTATGTAACTGAGGGTGATCTTGAGTTTCTGATCCTTCTGCCTCCACTTTTTGGAAATACAGGCATGCGCCAGCATTCCTGGTTTACATAGTGCTGGAGTTAGAACCTAGAGATTTGCACACACCAAGGTTCCTCCTACTTTTGACAAAGAAAACTTGATACCTCAGAGTTATATCAAGCAGAAGCCTAGGCATCAGACCCCTGCCTAAACCTGCCTCAAAAGGAGAAAGAATTTGGAAAAGCTCCCTGGGCGGGTCCCAGAGCTGGCTCAGTCTGAGTTTCAGCACTTTGGTCCTCAGTGAAGGCAGGTTGTTGTATGGCTGGCTCTAGGATGTGTGGGGAGGGAACTGAGGCTCGCCTCGGGCTTCACTGGGCAGTCTCCAGTCTGTTCAGCCGACCCGGTGGAGGTTGGGGCGGAGCGCCACTTTTCTGATCTGGGGAGGAGGGGCCGCAGCTAGGTAAGTAAGTCCCTTGGCAGCTAGACTAGCTACTGTCACACACACTGGCCGCCCCAGCACTTCTCCCAAGGTGCACCTGAAAAGCGCTCTGGGACTAAGCCCAGATTTGGAAGCTTCTGTCTGCATACAGCAAGCCCTGACCCCTGTCGCACAGGTTACATGGGTCCCGGAGTCACCTATCCATGGGGAAGCCGGCTCTCTGGCTTCCAAATGAGGACTTGGATCGAGCCTGTGGTGGCCTCAACCCAGGTGGCCGGCTCCCTCTACGATGCAGGACTACTACTGGTGGTGAAAGAATCCTTCGCATCCAATCACACTGCCAGCCAGTCGCTCAGGGGGCATCAGGAGGACCAACAGCAGAAGGCCATCTCCAACTTCTACATCATCTACAACCTCGTGGTGGGTCTGACACCCCTACTGTCTGCCTATGGACTAGGCTGGCTCAGTGACCGCTACCACCGCAAGATCTCTATCTGCACATCAATGCTGGGCTTCCTGCTGTGCCGCATCGGACTCCTACTCAAAGTGATGCTGGACTGGCCAGTGGAGGTGATGTACGGAGCAGCGGCTCTCAGTGGGCTATGTGGGGGTTTCTCCGCTTATTGGTCCGGCGTCATGGCCCTGGGATCCCTGGGAAGCTCTGAAGGCCGCCGCTCCTTGCGCCTCATCCTCATCGATTTGGTCCTGGGCTTGGCTGGGTTCTGTGGGAGCATGGCCTCGGGGCATCTCTTCAAGCAAATGGTTGGACACTCTGCTCAAGGCCTCCTGTTAACTGCCTGCAGTGTGGGCTGTGCGGCTTTTGCCCTTTTCTACAGCCTCTTTGTGCTGAAGGTCCCTGAGTCTGTGTCCAAGCCCAACAATGTATACCCCACCGTAGATACTGTGTCTGGCATGGTGGGCACCTATCGAACCCTAGATCCAGATGAACTGGACAAGCAGAATGTATCAGGGAACCCTCTGACTTCTGGGAAAAGGAAGCCCTCCCTAACCATCATCACCCTGCTATTTGTGGGTGCCATCGTCTATGACCTGGCTGTCGTGGGCACAGTGGATGTCATGGCCCTTTTTGTGCTAAAGGAGCCTCTCAGTTGGAACCAAGTGCAGCTGGGCTATGGGATGGCTTCTGGATACATAATCTTCATCACCAGCTTCTTGGGTGTTCTAGTCTTCTCCCGCTGCTTCCGGGACACCACGATGATCATAATTGGGATGGTCTCCTTTGCGACTGGAGCCCTTCTCTTGGCCTTTGTGAAGGAGACATACATGTTCTACATTGGTAAGTCTGAGGCTTATGGAGGTAGGGCACTGCTGGCAATCTGTGTCATAGTTTATGGGTGTGGACCGGGAGTCCCATTTCAGTACAAGGGACTGAACTTGGAGTTCAGGAGGTACAAGGGAGACAGGAATGGGTTTGTCTGTTTTGTGCTGGGTGTTACCTGTGTGGCTAACTGAATCTTGCCACAGTGGTACCCATGACTCTGGGTCAAGGAGATGTAGTCAGTGGATCTTGGAATAAGTATGAAGGAAGGCTGTCAGACAGCCTTAAGTGGAGATGGGTCCATTTGACTTTAATACATTTTAAATTTTATTTATTTAATCAGAGTGGGGAGACGGGCACATTGTGACACACCTGTGATGGTCAGAGGACAGCTCGTCAGAGTTTATTTCCTCCTTCCACCATGTGGGTTCAGGGGTTGAACTCAGGTTGTCTGGCACTAAGCACTTCCCCAGTCCTCTTCTCTCTAGCTTTAAAGAGATAAGACACACAAAAAGTTCCCTAAATCATTAGGGCCAAATATAGACTTTTTAACAATACATAGAATTTCTCAATAATTGGTGCTAATGAGCTCCATTGGCTCTGCAAACGATGGAGTACATTCCCATAAGACCATGGACAGAAGTTTCCTCTGGAGGACAGAGGTCATACAACCTCTAGCAGAAAGTTCTAGAATTCATGCTGCAACAGAATTTTCTACAGCTGCTAAGTGGCCTTCGTCTGTCAACACAACGTCCACGAGCTTTGTATGTCTATTGAGCATTTGCTATGTGGCTAGGGTAAGGAAAGGCTTATTTGCTGTTAACTTATGTAGGCTGCATGTGCCTAATAGCTAAGAATTCGGAAAGAAAAAGTCTAGGTTATCAGAGAACTGCCCAGGCTGTACACCTCAGAAAGACAGCTAGCAAAACAGCAAGGTCCCATGAAGAAGGCCTTGTACGGAGAGAGGATGGAATGTCCCTCTCTCCAGTCATTCCCACCTCGTCTCTCCATCCTCCTGCCCACCTCTCTCCTTTATCTTCCTCTTTCTCTCCCCTCCCCCACCTGCATGTGGCTAGTTAATGGGGCTTTAGGGATGTGTGGCTGCTGAACTAGGGGAACTCTGTCTGAAAGAGCCAGAGATTCAGAGTCTGGGCTACTCAGGTGCTCCCAGCAGAGAAGTTTAATGCTTCCAGGTCAAGGCCAAGGGACTGGGGGTGGGGAGGGGCTGGAAGAGAGGGAAGCCTTTGCTTTGTTCTGGTCTCCTGGGTTAAAGCTGAACTCAAATGAGAATTGTTCTTACTATCTGTTACAGCTCGAGCCGTCATGCTCTTCGCACTTATCCCCATCACGACCATCCGATCAGCCATGTCCAAACTCATAAAGGACTCTTCCTACGGTGAGTGAATCTCTCCAGGATGTCCAGCCCAGGCTGTCACAGATGCTCAGAAGATCCAGAAGCAGGGCTGGAGAGATGGCTCAGTTGATAAAGTGTTTGCATGAGGTCCAAGACTGGATCTCTGGCACTCATATAAAATGCTGGTATGGAAATACATACCTGTAATCCTAGTGCTGGGGAGCCGAGGGGAGAATTCCTGGAGCTTTATGTCTACCTCTGGCCTTCATAATGCACATTATGTGCACACTTGTGTGTTCACATACACACACAAGCATACACACACATACACAAGTTCTAGAAGCATCCTCAAACTTATAAGAAGCATACTGGTTTCTATCTAGGGCAAAAAGAATGGAGAAAGCGGGGTGGGAAAAACTCATAAAGATAGTCGCTACAAGCCAGAGTCAAAGAAAGGTATTTCAGGGACATCCAGCTAGATGGAGACAAGATTCCCATCAAATGGAGCCATGGAAGCTAAAAAAGGAGCCCTTAGGTGAGCAGATCTCTGGAGCCCCCCAAGAACCAGGTAGAGGGAACAAGAAAGGGACAATAGCACATCTCTTGATAATCTTTGTCTCTTCCACAGGAAAGGTGTTTGTCATACTGCAGCAGTGTCTAGCTCTGACTGGTGTGGTGACATCCACCATATATAACAAGATCTATCAGCTCACCCTGGACAAGTTCGCTGGCACCTGCTTTGTCCTATCTTCCTTTCTCTCCTTCTTGGCAATTGTCCCAATTGGGTAAGACAGAAACTGTCTGCTGTGTGGGTTGGGGCCCTGGTGTTGACATCAACCACAGACCTCTTGTTTTGTTTTGTTTTGTTTTGTTTTGTAATTATAAGCTCTCTCTCAAAGAAGAACACAGAAATGGGGCTCCTCTCTGGCAGTTTCATAAGATGGATTTATTTATAGGGGCTTCATAGACTTCCTTACAGTTGGAGGGCCTGTTAGTAACTCACTGGAGCCATTCTAACCAAATCTTTTATTTGAATCCCTTTAGGATCCCTTGTCCCTTCCAAAGACTGTTTCTTCTCTGTGCCCTGAAGGGACTCAGTGACCATTGCACATGTGAGCTCCCCAATAAGGCCTTAGGCAACAATCCCTTGACCTCTTCCTCTGGAGGACCATCTCCTATGTGAAACAGTGATGAGCAGGCAAGCTGCTGCACAGCCAGGCACTAGCCGAGGAGTCAGCAGAATAGAAGGAAAGAAGGGTTAGTTCTGGCTTCACTAGAAATGAGTGTGAATAGCAAAGGTGTGTGTGTGTGTGAGAGAGAGAGAGAGAGAAAGAGAGAGACAGAGACAGACAGAGAGACAGAGACAGAGAGAGACAGAGAGAGATTGTGTTTTTTAATTTGGTAAGGAGCTACATTAATTTTAAAGAATTTTACTTATTTTTGTGTATATGAGTGTTTTGTCTACATGTATGTCTGTGTACCATACGTGCAGTGTACACAGAGGCCAGAAGAGGGAGATGGAATCCTCCAGAACTGAAGTTATAGATAAGTTTTGAGCCACCAACTGGGTGCTGGGAACTCAACCCAGGTCTTTTGAAAGAGCAACAAGTGTTCTTTCTGCGCCCCCTTTCTTTTTTATTTAATTTTGTCTCGAACAATACATCCTGGCCATAGCCTCTTCCTCCCTCCACTCTTCCTAGGCCCCTTCCAACCTCCCTTCTCCCCCCAATCCACTGCTACTCCATTTCCCTTCAGAAAAGAGCTGTCCTCGCAGCGATATCAACTGAACATGGGCAGCAAGTGCTCTTAACCACTAAGCCATCTCCCCAGGCCCAAGGAGCCACTTTCTTGTTTGTTGTTTATTTTGAAAGATGGTCTACAGTTGGTAGTGGCGTTCATCTTTTATCCCAGCACTCTGGAAATAGAGGCAGCAGATCTCTGAGAGACGGTTTTGCTATAAAGTTCAGCCTGGCTTCAAACTTACATCTTCCTGCCTCCATTTCCTATGTACTGGGATTGCAAGTGTGTGCCCCTATATCTGGCAGGAGCCACATTTTAAAACACAAAAGGCAGGAATGTAGTTTAATTGGTACAGTGATTGCCTAGCATGCAAAAACTTCAGTTTGCATCCCTCCCATTGTAGAAGCCAGTGTGATCCTGTGTGCACATCTGGAGGCAGAGACAGGAGGATCAGAAGTTCACTGTCATCCAGAGCTACATAATGAGTTTGAGTTTTGCCTACAGTACATGAGACCCTGACTCCAAAAAGAAAAAAACAAGGATGGTGAAATTAATTATAATAATATAGCTGATACCCAAATATCTCAACATATAATGAGCATATGCAATCAGGCAATAGGAATGTTTTACTTTTTAAAATGACCAAATCTGTGAAATCCAGTTATATATTGTTATCCTTACAGTAAATTCCATTTTGCAGACACATTTGAAGTGTTCAGTAGCTACAAGTCCCTACACCTTCCCCTGAAGTGAAATTCTCTTATACCAGTGAGTCTAGCCTTAAGAGAAATGTCTCTTTCAGGAAAGCCACAGGCTATGCCATAAGGTACAAGGAACTTAACAGTCTTACTCTTAGAGACACCAGCCTGGTTACCAGGTAGTCTTGGCAGCAGCTGCAATGACAGCAGCTGAGTAAACAATAATTGAAGGCAGTCTAGAAGGGGGCTGTAGTGAAGGCTTTTTGTTTGTTTGTTGTTGTTGCTGTTTTTTAGAATGCTCACATCGTATCATAATATAGGTTTTGGGTGGTGGTAGCATAATATAGGTCTCTGCCAGGCCTCCTGGGATAGGAGCCGCCATCATTAAGGCTGTTTGCTTTATTTGAAACAAAACAAAACAAAACAAAACAAAAACAAAACAAAACAAAACAAAAATCAAACACACAAGGGAATCTAGCCAAGTAGAGGGCCATGGCCAAGTCTCATATCCTAAAGTGTGGGGACTGAGCCAGGACTTTCCAACCATTAGACCCTTCCATTGGATCCAGGCTGCATGGGTCGGAATGACTTGGTGAGAGCTAGCATATCATAGACTTTTGAGGTGTCCAACTCCCTGGTCAACTGAGTAATAGATTAATAGTTTCACTCAAGTAACAATCCTCTTTCACTGAAGGCTGATGCAGTCTCTCTAACTTAAATAAATACCCCAGAACAATAGTAGGAAATAACTCTAATTAGCCAGTGTAAGTCATAAAGTTATAAACAGACCAGCAAAAGCAATGACTGGTTCCTTCTATAGTTTTGTCTGTGTTGTGCTAAGTAGGATGACTTGCCTTCTTCAAGGAGAGATTTGAGGGCACATGGAACAGGTGCCCTTGACACCTCACCCAATGCACTTGGATCCAGCCATTTGTTTCTGCACCAGTTCCTTAATCTCTCTCTCTCTCTCTCTCTCTCTCTCTTTCCTTTACCTCACTCCCTCTCCTCTCTTCTCTCTCTCTCTCTCTCTCTCTCTCTCTCTCTCTCTTGTGTGTGTGTGTGTGTGTGTGTGTGTGTGTGTTGTGTGTCGAAGTTGACTCTCTTCTCCTTATACCATGTAGGATCTGGAATTGAACTCAGGTTGTCAGGTTGACTTGGTGGCAAGTGTCCTTACCTGTTAAGCCATCTTACCAGCCCTGCACCAAATCTCTTTTAAAACATTTCATGCATGTTCAGATGCCCTTGGAGGCCAGAGGAAGGTGTTGGATCCCTTAGAGATAGAGTTACAGGCCAATACAAAACCCTTGACCTCTGGAAGCATCCTTACCTGCAGAACCATCCTGCCAGTCCTACACCAAATCTTAATTAGCCACACAGGATCTTCATGATCTTGTGTCCCAGAAGCAGGCAGAGGCTCTGGAAGCATTTGCCTGAGCAGCTGATTGGATGCTCATGTGGATCGAGCACCTACCTGCTAAGTGCTTCCTCCATTGTCCTTTAGCAGTAGAAACCCATGTACAGACAAAGCCACATTTCCACACATTGAATGACCAGTAAAGATTTCAAGATGACTGCTCTCAGGTCCCATCCCCACAGACTGAGACTCAGTTGATCCGAGGCACTTCCTGGAATAGACATTGTTTTAAAACTTGACAGGTCATTTTGAATGTACAGCTAAGATTGAACATGCATGGTATAACAGCAGTGCTTCCCTGGCCTTCCCTTGTCCTGAGGTCACTCAATGAGAATCTGAAAAATCTCTGCCAGCTACAGGTGTCTAGGCTGTTGTGCCATCAGTCATTAAGTAAAGGCAAGAGAAAAGACCTGTGGGGTCTCTAGCCTCAGAAGGAAAGGCTACATTCCAATCACAGACTGTCCCAGGAAGGTGTGCTAAAGCAGAGGAGGACACAGAAGTCAGAAGGCTTGACCAGTTACTGTTTGCATTCTCCTTCCTGATGCCAGGAGAGGTCTTTAGGCCAGAGTTGCCAACACCCTGTCTATACATGAGGGGGTGCGGGCTACCCTGTCTGGTCCTTATAACAAAGGGGAGGCATTGTCACAGCTACTGTGGGAAACTGTCTTCCTTGCCTGCTCTTTTTGACATGAACAGGGGGATGTTAAAAAAGCCTTCACGAGGCTATCTGTCTCTAAAACCTCCCCTACCCTCACACACAGGTACTCACAGGTGCTCTGTGTTGCCCAGATATGTTGTCACATATCAGATATTTACACTACAATTCACAAGAGTAGAAAAATTATGGAGTAGCAACAAAAATAATTTTATGGTTGGGGTCACCACATGAGAGCTGTATTAAATAAAGGGTGGCATCATTAAGAAGGGTGAGAGCCCCTTCTCTAGGAGGATCTGTTTAATGAATACATGCTCTGTCAAAAGGATGTGGCACTTGAGGCTGGGGCTGCAGCTCAGTTAGTACAGTGCTTACCCAACATGCATGAAGCCATGGGTTCAACCTCCAACACAGCATAAACCAGGCATGGTGGGCCATCTCTGGCATCCCAGCTCTCAGAGAGTGAAGGCAGGAGGATCAGAAGTTCCAGGCCAGCCCCAGCCTTGGGTCTTAAAATAACAAGAGTGACTGGGACTAGGAAGACAGCTTGGTAAAATGGTTGCCCTGTAAGATAAGAGTTCAGATCTCTAGCACCCATGTAAAAGCAACTGCAGGCGGGGGGGGGGGGGGGTGCAGACAGAAGGTCCTCAGAAGTCACCGGTAACTGATCAAGTTGAGTCAGCTGACTCTGCTTGGGATCAGTTCAGGGGAAGTCATCACTAGGCCAGAGTAAGAGGCAAAGAGATGCTAGGAAGATGGGCAGCTGTCTAGTTCACAATGTTACTTGAGACAGGGAGAGTTCTTTATCCCAGGACTGGAAGGAATCTGGAGAGTTCTCTAGAGCCAACCTTCTCACTCAGCAACATCTGATGCACCATGGAGTTATATTTTCCTTTATTGGTGACAAAGAGTGGTGGGAAATGACCCAGGCATAGGTGGAGATGAAAACCCCTCCTTTGCCTCATTCCAGCTCTCATTTTATAATTCTCTTTTGCAAATTCTTACAGCATTGTGGCCTACAAACAAGTCCCAAGGCCCCAACAAGGAGAGAGAGCAGAGAAATGAAGGAACTGAAAACACCAGTAATATCCAGGTTCTGTCCCCGAAATCCACATTCCAGCCTTCCAATGACCTTGGGTCCCTGTGGGAGGGAAAAATCACTTTCTGGGTATTGGAGAAAATCTAGTTCTTGGATGCCTCTGCAGAGCAGATGTTAGGGTCTGTGGGTACAAGCTGCTTACACAGGCATCCTAGATCCTGGAGGGGTTCAGGCTCCTTTCAGCCTTTCTCCCACCACTGTTTTAAAGACTCCAATGGAGGGATAACAAGTCACATAGGCACAGTGCTAGAAATTCCATGGAAGACTTAGCCTGCATTTCACCAGCCCAAGGGGAGTGAACATGAAATGGACATTTTATAAAAACTGACATTTTTGTATGCATGACAATAGTTTTCAAGTTAATGAAAAATCTTGAAAAAGTGAGTTTTCTTGGTTGACTGGAAACAAGAGAGCATCAAAGTGCAGGGTAGTGTTACCACTGTTGCTCTAAGGAAGCAAATATCAGGACTGGGGTGTAGCTCAGCTGGTGGAGTGCTTGCCTAGCATGCACAGAGCCCTGGCTTTCATCTTCAGCACCTCAGAAGCCAGGCATGGATGTGCACACTTGTAATCCCTACACTTGGGAGGTAGGGGCAGAAGGATCAGAAGTTCAAGGCCATCCTCAGCTGTATTGCCAGTTTGTGGCCAGCTGGGAATACATGACATCCTGCCTCAAAACAAAAAAAAAAAAAAAAAAAAAAAAAAAAAAAAACCAGCAACAACAGCAAAATTCAACAAGTACCAGTGAAATATGCAAAGGAACACTTTCAATCAATAGTTTCCAGAGTGGATGTTGGGGATGTCGAGCACCAGCTTATTCTGAGTTACTTATGCTGATTGTCCCTTTTGCTTACCAGGCAGAATCATCTCCTAATAAAATCAATATTCACAGTGTTCAGTACAAATCATTCTTTCCCTGGTGGGATCCCCCTGTAATTTCAGATGTGGCATTCTCAAACTGGAGTGAAATATAGAGAGTGTATTTAAATGTCAGGGCATTTGGACAGCTTGTATCTGATTCCCTTGCAGGAAATGATCAAAACTTGACTTGACTTCCCTCCTCCTCTTTCCCAACCTCCCTGCATCCCCCCACCCCCATCCTCTTCCTTCTGCCCTCCTTGCATCTTGAACTCTTGAGGTACCGAAGACCCTGTCCTTGGTTCTCCAAATCTGTTTCTTCCCCACAGCCCCTAGAATGTTCTCAACACAAGTCAACACCTCCAGTTCCCCAATATAACAACCCTCGTTATTTTCCCCTCACTCACCACTTAAGATTACTGTATCCTTTCTCTCTTCCCCGAATAATATAATAGCATCACCTCCATCTGCCAGGCTGCAAGGCTCCAAATCACCTCTGATTTAGTTCCCTTTCTCACAGTTATCTCTTAAATCCAGCTGCCCCATTACAACCTTCTCCTTTATCACTTCTGTGCATGGTTGTATGTGTATGTTGTGTGTGCATCTTTTGTCATGTGGGTCCTGGGGATTGCCAACCCTTCACTTGCTGTGCCATCTCACCAACCATTACCATGTTTTTTGTGATTTGTTTCTATGCATTTTCCAGGTCTCCAGTCTGACCCCAATCCTCCAGTATCTTCACCTCGGTACCTTTTTAAAAAGGAGGGGGGAAGGTATATAAACTCTCCTTAAAAAATCAGCTGACTAAGCATATAGGAAAGGCTTAGTCATTAACATTTAACTTGGACATATTTAAACAAGTAAGAGGGGGAGCCCTTCGGTAAGGGCTGTCATATAGTGAGTGACCACCAGACAGGCGTTTTGTGTACACAGTTACTAGATTGTCAAGAACCCTATAGGGAAGGCTTGTCTGTACCTCAAAGGTCATAATGTTGAAGGCTCAGAGATGTAACTGTTCTAGAACCAGAGTTATTAAACGAGACAATGAAGTTTAAGTCTCAAATTTCTTTATTCCATCTTGCTGCCCCCATTTTATATCACTGTAGTATTGGACTAATGATGTCAGGTTAATTAATTGCATTAATTAATCACCACTAAGCTAAGTTCATCATCATTATGATACCTATTTCCAATGAAAGAGCACCTCACTATGGAGCCTTGGCTGACCTGGAACTCAATATGCAGGCCAGACTGGCCTCAAAATCTGCCTGTTTCTGCCTCACATGTGCTTGCCCAGCTTCATTTTAAACTACGTGTGTGTGTGTGTGTGTGTGTGTGTGTGTGTGTGTGTGTGTTAAGTGGGAATGTGCATGCAGGTGAGGATGAGAAGGCAAAGGAGGTCCTTGGATCCCAGAAGTTGTGAGTCAGAGTTGTGAGCTACCTGAGACAGGTACTGGGAACTGAACTCAAGCTCTGTCCTTTGCAAAAATACTCCCATAAACCACAGGCATTACTTTTCCTTGAAATGCCTCAAAAACATGGCAGAAAACAAAACAACAGGAAATGGCTGCCCCAACCTAGAATATAATGTGCTTTTCGATTGTTCCATGCAGGAAGAAATCTTGATGTAGCATCCACTTGTCAATCTCAATGATACTACAGCAGTTTATCTCCCTAAACCAGTGCCAACTTTTAAGAGGCAGGAGAGGACAAATTGTGGCAGGGCCTATTGTGAAGTGAATACGAGGTTCGTGTGTACCTATGCCTTTCCCCATTACCCTGCATGTTCTGATTCTCACAAGCAAATTATCAACTGTTCAGAGAAACTTTTAAAAAACCCTGTACTAACTGGTACAAATGAGCACATGACCCAGGATTAATAAAGCATCTTTTATAGATTTATTGGTCCATTACTTTAAGTTAACTGAGGTAAAGAATTTTTTAATTTACAAGCTAATAGTTTATCAAGCAATACAAATTCTTCGTTTACCTCAAAATGTAATACTAATTCCATAGTAAACAACAAACAGAATTTCTTACACACAGATATACGAAAAACCAAAGTGGACAAGAACTTCATGCCAGCATCAAAAATACAACAAAACAACTTTTTTTTCTTTTTATAATCTCTGGTTCCATAACAAAGAAAAAGGTGACATTCGTTTTTTGGTAGTTTCATGAGACAAACACTTGGATCTGTAAAGAAATCACTTTCTTATCAACACGCATTCTCTCAAGCACTTATGCTCACAACTTTTGTTTTGGCTTAATGGCAGCATGGAGAGAGAGCTAGCACAGTGGGACACCATACCTCAGAAGCCTGCTTCTTTCTCTGGAAGTTTAAACACACAATTTCTAAAAATAAAAAAAAAGTCCAAAAATTTGTTATAATCTCCCTTTGAACAGATAAAATGAGAGTTAGAAAGTTTGCTGGCAGTTTGTTTCATGGGAGTCTGTCAGATGCAGGCTGCCTCTCCATACATTCCTGACTCAGGCATGAAGGAAACAGGCATACAGAAATACAGAGACTCTGAGGGAGAAGCCCAACCCTCAGCACCGGCTAGGTGGACAGTGCTGACTGGTAAAGATGCTGGTTTGTGCTAGTTTGTTCCTGGATGAAGGCCCAGCTGACACAGCCATCACTCTGTTACACCAATCCACACGTTGCCTTGCAGTCTAGGGAAAAAAAAATCCCTCCTCCTCCCTCCCCTCCAGCATTGTTCCTGGCAAAGCATCAGTCTAAGGCTGTGGACCGGCCTGTCAAACAGCAGTGTGCACAGGTGTTAGCTGCTCTGACCAGGACTGCATGGAGAGCCCAAATCACCTGATACTTGGGCGGTACTTTTGGGAGAGGCACATAGACAACTCTTTACCACTGGCTCTAATATTAATGAGTCAACAGAACACATTTATGTTATTTGGCATTTCAACCTTTGGAGGAGTTCTATCCCAGTGTGCTCTGGGGCCCATTCTGTCACAATCTAGAGGATCCTCTGAAGCTATGTGATTTGTCACTGCTGATAATGTCTCTATACTCTACACCCCAAACTACCAACGCATACCAAGTTTGTCTTTCTCACTCAAAGACATCAAACAGTACGAGTGTCATACATAGTCCCTGTTTCTTGACATTATTTCAAATACCATTTGGCAACAGCAATATTTAGTCTCACCTCCCAAAAGGCCACCTTCCTTCTGTGACCCTCACCTCTGGCTTGTGACTTTAATGGGACTGAAGATGGCCTATATTAAGTTTCTAGACCATCTGCTTCCACATGTAAAACTTTCTATGCAAACTCTTTTAAACACTAGCTGAGGAGTAAGGCAATTAGTGGGTACTGACAGTTTTAAGAACTACAGTTAGGTTTTTAACAGTCTGTGGCTTTTTCTAGATATGTTGGTTTTCAAGTGCTAAAAACACAGATATGAGAGAGACATCTTATTGGTCTCTTTAAAAGTTTCCCCCACCTCAGATCACTTATTTACAAACTACAGTAGTTAAAAATAGTGATGTGGTTTTTTGTTTTGTTTTTTTCCACACATAAAGATTTGGGCAGTCCATCATACCCAGGAATATTTCAAACAGATATGATTAAGAGAGAATGGTCTGCCCATTTAAGAGAGTTTTCACCCCAGCCTAGACAAAGTCGCTGTCCTCTGATGTGTGCAACCATGGGGACACCTTCAAAACAGAACACTGACAACCTACAGAGTAGGTTGGTAAAAAATTGAATCCCTCATTATTTACTAAATTATAAACAGGGAGGAAGCAAGCAGCCCCAACACCTACTGCATCTCTATTTGGCCAGGAGGTAATTTTCCTTAATTGTACTGCTAAGTGCCACCTGCTACCTGAGGAGAATCTGTTGCCAGCCTGAAGACTTTTGAGACTGAGAAGGAAACCCCAAATCCCCAACATAATCTTGTAAATGAAGATGACCAAAGTCCCCTAACACTATGCTTAGCTTACTTGATTTCCAAATACCATTTGTGAGAAGGTGAGGGGCCAGAAGAGAGTGCCCTGCCCCAGCCACAGAAGCTGATCCTCTGAAAGAATCACCCTTTAGGGTCGCCAGCTCCACCTAGCCAGAGAGGCCAGTTCCAGTCCACTCCAAGACCCAAATTAGTATGGCCAATGCAGCTGCTAAGGCAGTCCTTGGCTTTACCCACCCCAACCAGCTCAGGGTAGTGTAGTGTAGTGTAGTGACGTTACTATGATTCAAATGACCTCACTGAAACAGAGCCAGCTACCTAGGGCTTCAGTGCCATAGAACAGGACCGAGTCACAGAGTCTGAGTGTTCTTTGGGTGTTGTCCTAAAAGAGAAACATTGCCATCATGCTTACTTCTAAAATCAGAACTTTCATTGGGCCTTCACCCAAGGCTACAGTGTGCACGGACAGTTTCCTCCTGTTGAGATAGAAAGAGTACACTCTACTCAGCATCTAGAGCACACTCCATGTGGCCCCCATTTGGCATAAAGAGACTTACATTCCACTTGTATCCCCAGGCATGCTGGGCTTTTCTTATGTTGGTTATGGGGAAATGCCTGGTGAGTTCAGGAGTAGCTTGGTTAAGCACCAAGCCAAGGCCTCCCCCTAAGCCTACTTGCAACGACTCACCAACAATCATGACTGAGCCTTAGGAGAGGGTAAACCCAAGCCCACACAGGCTGAGACATGAGTCCCTCCTTACTCCAGTGCAGAGCCTCCTTGCTTTGAGCAGAGCAGCCCAGATTCTTCTTACAAGTTGCCAGCATTAGCATATCCTTTACTGCTACAAACCACAACAGTGTTGTGTAAACACTCGCATCTCTCTAGTCTCCTTGGTTTTAAGAATTCTCTCTTTTTACCTTGACAGATTTCTAAGCCAATGAACAAACCCTCCATTTCTCAGGACCTGGGCAGTTACTAGGGCCAACTTTCATTTTACTGTCATGTATTCAAAGCCTCAAAATCTATGTACTATCCCTCTGCTTGAGGTTCAGCTCATTCTACCCTCAAGGCAAAGTCTCATGGAAAATAAACAAGAGGGATCTGTGACTTCAAGGCAGAAGCTTTGTAGGCTCCAGAAGGAACTAATGGAGCTTCTCGGAGGCATTTCGGCATTCGGCATTCAGCACCGGCACCGTAGTCTCTGAGCTATGTTTTGTGGGGGAATCTCTTTTGTGCTTGGCCAAGAGGAAACAAATGCTTGTGACTGCTGAGCTTCCGGGGACTGAGGGAGCCACAGGAGTAGGAGGGCAGGAGGCCCTGTCACTGTCTACCTGCCCCTTTCCTCTGGCCAGCCTCCTCAGCTCACCATGAGAGCCTGAAGACAGGGACAAGAGTGCCTTCTGGTGCATGGGTGTTCCTGGCTCGGCCACTGACATCGTTCCTAGGGGACCAAAAGTCTCCAATATTCCAGCCCTTTCTGGAATCTTGCTTGCTGGCCAAAAGAACAGAACAAGACAAAAAGTTCAAGATGCCCTCCCTGAAATCCAGTGTCTCACAAGGGAATGCCTGAGGACCCTGCTTCCATTCCTATATTTCCCAGTGCAGCCCAGGGCTGTTTTCACAGGGCTTCCTTCTTATGTAGCTAACCGGCATTCAGGATTGACTTGGGGTTCAGCAATTGGCTGGACATCAAATGGTAGCTTCTCCTTAATACTTTCTGTAGTTCCTTCCAAGCATCAGTACACTGGACACTTATCAAGCACACAGTCTACACAGCAAGGTTTCATGTTTCCCAAAGATGGCCATCACTGCTGGGCCAGTCTGGTGTCTCATGACATACATCAATGGAGCCCTGTTGGTGACTAGATATATGACCTGACTCTACCAGCATGCTGGGGCTGGCTCTTGGCATTCACACCCACACCAACCCAATGGTTTAGAGGTAGAATGAGATGCTGAGCCACTGAAGTTTGGGTAAGTACAGACTGTTCTTACCCTCTGCTTCAGTGGGTCGTTTCTATTTGTACCAAACAAAATTCACATCAAAGGATTTTAGGATGGCACAGATGGGGTTTAGGCAAGTACCAATAGTTTCAGGAATTATTATTTCAATCATAAACTTGTCAGATGTAAAGAAAAGACAAATAGTTCCATGCTGTCTAGCTGCTGTCTACAATGTCTCAGATGCAGCTGACTGGAGGTCCAACTCAGAGAGGGAATGACAGGACCTCAGCATGCTGTGTGTTGATTGGAATTTGCAAATTAATTTGTACGTGAAGCAGTAACTGGACTGCTTCATTTTAAAACAAACAAAACCCCTTCTGTTTACCTGAGGCTCAGATTTATGGATTTTTAGCAAAGCCACAGATGAAAGAACACACTCTGCAGCTTGTTTTCAACGAGAACAATCTGAAAGAGATCCTTTCTAACTGCTGACTTTATGGCAATTTGAAAAGTTTCAAATGAAAACTTTAAGCCCAGCCAGCAGTCCTCATATTTTGGCTGCAAATGGAGATTTCCATATAGTCAGAAGCACAAGTCCTGGTGTCTCTCTTCTCATCTCTAAGGGCCCTTCAGATATTATTCCTCCAGACCACAGAAGTTTAGGGGTTAAAACCCTCATATAGAACATTCACACTTAACTTACAAGTTTGACAGTCATAACAATGTGATACACCAGCCCTCACTGCAAGGTTGCCCAGATATTCAGTGGGCATGATAGGAAGTATTAAACCAGACATTTTTGGTGAGGTTAAGGCAAATTGCACAAAGCAGACATTGGGGGAGGGCTTGGCACACAGGAGAGTCACTGACCATTAAACAGCAGGTGTTTCCTAACAGGTCTAATCCCAACCACAATGAAGGTTAACAAGCAAAACAAAAACACTAATACAGTCACAGAGAAAAATGCACCTTTTCCCAATTCACACCAAAAAGCTTCTCATCTGTAGCATTCTGGTGTCAGAAACAAGATCCAGGGGCATTCTCTTCAGCTTCCTGAGGCATCGCATAAGGACAAGGACGCTGGCTTGCTCACTCGAGCATTGATGCACACAGAGACACTGATTTAAATGGACCCATGTGAACCAGAAACAAGTCAACAGATGCCACTCACGATGAGCAGGCAGTAGGCCACAGTCACAGCCACAGGCCACTGTAAATTAAGGACTTTCCAAGAAGGTCCCTATACCTCCTATGCCGGGACAGGCCAATGCTCCCAGGGGCAAAGTGCAGAGTCACAGGGTTGCCACAGCTGCCTTCTTCATGTCTCCCATGTCCCTGAAAAGCAGGGCTGTTGTTCTGTCCCACAACAGCAATTGGGCTGCCCCCCAAAGCAATGTCATGTGTCATCTGGGGGTTGTCCTGTCCCTTAGTTTCAAGTCTTTGTAGTGTTCCATTTAGGAGGTTCCTTCACAATATGGAGGTATGCTTCTGTTGCGAGATGATCACAGCCCCATAGACTCCTCCAAGGAATAAATACTAAACTGAAAACAACTATGGGGAGGGAGAGGGAGAGGGGGAGGGGAAGAGGGAGGGAGACAGTACACAAACGGGGGTGGGGGGGGCTGCTATGCTGCTTTCCCACCGCCACCTCTCCACCTCTCTGGCACTGCAGGGACATTCTGGTTCAGCGTGTCATGCCCTGTGGAGGCAGAAGAGTCTCTCTGTCCCAAGAACAAATCTACTTGGTCTCTTGTTTCTCTTGCAGTAGTGGAATAATCGACTCCCACGCCATGAGGCACTGAAACGACAACATGCATACAAGGTCAGCTGATTAATGTTACTCTGTCAATCCTGATCCTGCTGGGTCACCTTTGTCTAGTGGCACCTACCTGTGTTATCAAAACTATATCAATAGAGGAGGTGACAGGGATTTGTCTGGAATATGAAAGAGCAATGCCCTTACAAAGCTTGCCTGCATTCATGATAGTGCCAAACCTACATCCAGGCAGTGGTGATGGATTCACTCTCAGAAAACTCTTTCCTTTGACTAAGCAAAAACTAGATCAGGCAGGAAACTCTTGATGAGGACACAGGTTCTGAGTACCCATGAAGACATTGTTGGAGGTGTGGGTGGGGCTTGTACAAAGATATAAACATGAAAGGCCAGCTGCCCGAGTCAGGGTGGGTGGAAAACTTGCTCTTATTCATCAACCTTAAGCTTGGTCTGTTTATTTGGGCCACTCTTAGATATCCCCCAAAGATGGGGAGAAGGGAGTCCAACAATTTTTACAATTATTCCTGTGTATGTGAAGGGTAGGGGTACATGTCCAGCCTTAAGGGGCCAGTTCTCTCCGTCCACCATGTGTGTTTTGGAGATCAAATTCAGGCTGTCAGGCTTGGCACCTTTACCCACTCTATCGAGCCATCTCACTGGCCCAACTATGAGGCTTTATTAGGCCCATATACTGTTATGTATTTTATATTCAGTGTCACATGGTTCATAGTCAGAACATGAATGCACACTGATATTCCTTTCACTGCAAGTTCCTTTCATTCCAGGTCCTTATGACAGGCCAAGAACTTAGAAGACTTGGGCGCTGCCTCTGAGTGTGGCTGGCTCAGTCGACATGTTCCTCCCTCTGAAGAGCCTCTTGCAAAAGGGAAGGGAAAATCCACTGTAATTGACAGCCTTGGGGTGAAGGAGGACTCCATCTGAGTCACCTGGGGAGGCATTCTGCAGAGGTGGGAGGAGAGAGGCATCATCAGGTCATCAAGTAGAAAGAGGAGTGATGAAACTTCTCCCTGATACCTTCCTGGGAGACTCAGAAGCCTGTCCTAAATACGGTAAGGCTTGCTTTCAACGATGGACCTGAAGGGAAGTCCATAGAATTCCAAACTCTAAGCTATCCCATCCTATCTACAAGGGTCCTTCTGCATGTCTCAAGAGGAACTGTGACTGATCAAACTTTCTTTTCGGTCCTTAAATGTGTTGGCTCTTTTCTTGCTCAGGAACCTTACAGGTGTTGTTTCCTTTGCCTACAGTATGTTTGTCAGATCTCTGGCTCTAAGGATCAGAGCAAATGTTATTTCCATTGACAATAAAACATTATTTTGTGCCCATTCCACTAGACCCGCCCCCCAGTACATTCTTCCTGTTCCTTACCTTTAACTCAGTTCCTTCACCCTTACCTCTAGGAATCCATCATTAATGCATCTCTCATGGACTGAGGATGCCTAGAGGGTTGTGCAATTCCAACTGTTAATCAACTTTGTAAACAAGCCTTTGCATACAAAAAGTACAGGGAAAAAAATGTCAAATAGTAGAAGCCAAGACCAGGTCTGTTTATAGGAAAATGGGAAGAAGAAGATAGGGCCTGAGTTTGCCTTCTGGGATTTTAGAGATGGTTGGTTTTAGTATGGGAAGTAAGAACATCAAGGTAACTTTTATTGAGTGTTCGCCACAAGCTGAGTATGTTCTGGTAACTTGAATCTGCATTTTCCTTTATCTTCACAATCTTCCTGTGAAAATGACTAGCACTTACAATGGAGGGATTGGCAGGAGCCTTGCCTAACACAGCAGGAGGAGGCCTTGACTTCATGTGGGGAGCTTCCTACCTTTGAGGAAGCAAGGCTGTTTCTCAAAGTGTGTGGCCGCTGTCTCCGAAGCTGACTGTGTGTGGGGACAATCCAGACTTATGGGTGGCCCGGCTTGTGTGGAATTTTTAAACTTCTGTGAGTATTGATTTCTTTAGCTTTAAATTGAAAATCATAAAATCTTCTTTGTCACATAACTTGACCTGACCACACGCTTGGGTCCTGGAACCCTGACTAGGGATGGAGAAGGAGAAAGGACAAACATACAGACACACATGCAGCAAAGCTGGGATCAGGCGGGTGTGTGCTCACTCTGATAGAGGGCTCCTAATGCCAGCAACATGGAACCTCAGTGAGTTTATTAGGTACAGCACATGGGGAGGGGCTAGCTAGTATCAGTAGATCTCTGTAGGTGAACAGTCTCAAGCTGTAAACATCTGGGAGGAGGAAGCTGCAGTTCTAGTCTTTCCAACACCCTGATCACTTGCTCAAAAACACTCATACTCAGACCCCAAGGAAGCTTTGCTATCCCTCTTCAGCCTGGCCCAGGATGAAATGAGTGTGCCAGTTTCCCATGGGTCAGAAGCCTCAGAGGCCTCAAAATGGGCTTCACTCACTCGGGCCTTCCTCTGATGCCCACACCTCTCAGCCTTGACAGAGAGTTAAATTTAATGAGTTGACACGTGCTAAGCATCCAGGGGGAGGTCCAGTTCAGAGCAGCAGGGACTCCGGAGAAAAGGCAGGGAAGGATAGAGGGAACCTCCATCTCCTCCCACTCGGCTTTGTTTCCTTGATTTTCCTTTAGTAAGCTGGGAAAAGTAAAGGCATACCACCTCAGAGCAGCAGCCACAACCATCTAAGCCTCAAAGACAGTCTAGGCCAAGGACGTGTCCTAGGGCTACAATCTAAGAGATACACCTGTCGATAGCACCTTCCCATATAATGAGAGGCTGTCCTGAATTTCAAGGCCACAACTTATTTCAACTGAAACTAGGCTGTTGTTTAACTCTATGTGTAGGCTACAAAACACATCAAGACCCATTATTAGAAATGACTTCAAATTAGACACATTAGGAGTGAACCTTTATCTGAGGAAATGGCTCTCTCCCTCTAACCCTCCCCTCCTGTGTGTCCTCCACTCGTGTGTGTGTGTGTGTGTGTGTGTGTGTGTGTGTGTGTGTGTGTGTGTGTAGGAAAGTTTAACCTGAGGTCCATAGATCAAGAGGATGCACAGCTTTCCTGTGGAATGCCATATAACTATTTTAGGTATTTAAAAAGAGTATTTTAGAATCTAACATTAAAAACAAACAGGATTTTGATAAGATGTCTATCAGCTTCAACAGATGATAAAGAGGGTCCATGACACAGTGAAAATGAAGAACCCTTTATGCGGAACCACAGGTAACATAAGAAACCCCAAAGCCTTCGTAAACTGGGGTACCCAAGTACTGGTCTCACTGGATCTGGGAAGCAGTCAGCTGTCCAAACCAATGAGCCACCTCCTCCAGTAGAGTGCGAGAAACAGAGACCTATGAGAACTGGATCTCTGCTTTGAAATTCTGCACTGCTCTGCCAGGGTACTCGGGGTAGATAGATGCAAGTTAAAGATGGGACAAGGGGATCATACTTTGGGATTTCTTGAAGACCCCCCCCTATGAAAGGCTCTGACCACTAGAAACTGAAGGGACCTGCTCCCCTTTTGGCAGGCATAACAGCCGAACACGTGATTGCC